GATATAAATAGTGATAATAATTGTTATTGTTATTATTTTGGGTATATGAATAATTATAATTATTATTGAATGTTAAAGATTATACTCACAACAATATGCAGCTTTTCATTTTCGATTTTTGATGTTTTAGTATTATCCTTTTTAAAATCTGATATTTTGAATTATTAATGTACTGTTGTATTGTATTGCATTTATATTTTGAATGTATTCTAATGTATTTTTACTAGTATATGCGAGGTTTTATCGAGTAAACGATTGCTTTTCTTTTGGAGATATTAAAGTTATTCTGATTCCGATTTTGATTCTTATTCTAAGCCACCTCACTCCACAAACAAATGTAGCATATAAAATGGATCATCGTTTATCATCATCATCATCGTCACTATCATTATATCATCGTCACTATTATTATTATTATTATTATTATTATTATTATTATTATTATTAGGCCTATTATATAATAATAATAATAATAATAATTATAATAATAATTATTAGGGGCCTATTACTATTTTTACCGGTATTATTTTCATTTAATTATTGTTATATAACTATCATCAGTATTACTTATTTGCTTTTCCTGCTTACGTAGAAGAGGCATTTTTGTTTTGACTTATTAAATCTTCTAACCAGTTTCCAAATGGTTTTATTCATTCTGTATTTCACTTTTATCCCTTTCAATGTAAATCACATAGTAAATATGTTCGTCATTGTTATTGATAATTTCGGCTAAAAGTAGTCGGCCTACCGTTCAGTGCATTAATGCATTAGAGGCGCACTGGTGGGCACTTTTTACAACAAAAAAATGCAGAAAATGGTATAACATACAATAAAGAATTTAAGGACAGTTACTGAAAAAACTGTCTGCTGACTCAATCAATAATTGTAACTTACTCTTAAATATACAAAATAAACATGTATTACAAAAGATTTAAAATCTAAAACAGAATTTACATTGACAAATAATTGCATTGAGCCAGCTGAATATTAATTACATAATAATAAGCTGAGTTTACATTTGGACTTCAAAAGCCATAGTATGTGAAATTTTCTCAAAAAATTCAAATTGCCATTAACTGATCTTTTAGTAGTAATAATAATAATAATAATAATAATAGTAAAAATAATGATAATAATGATAATAATAACAGTAATAATAATAATAATAGTAATAATAATAATGATAATAATAATAATTTTCATCTAGCATTTTCATCGTAAAGCCCTGCTCTGTTGCCCATATATAGTCATGATATGCCTATATTTGGTCACGATGTGACGTCATCATGGCCATATTTTGGTATGTCACATGTTTCTGTCAATAAAGTTTGATAGTCTGGACATAGCTTTAGAATTATCGTTTCTTTTGGACGTCCTGGAAAAAAAAATGTCAACATTATGTAGATGATCCCGAATGCATAACTGCTCTTCTAAGCAAATTGGTACCAAAATGTCTACAGGTTTTGTTATCTTTGAATATGAGTTTTTGTTTCACTTGAGTTCAGACCTGTTGTTCTTAATATTGTAGCAGCGTTTATTTAGCCGTCAATATACCTATTCGATCGCAAAGCCTTTTCGTGATGATTAGTTAGCACGCCAACCCTAACCTTGAGGATAGACAAATTCGAGTTCTAGCCGGCAAAATAAACACTATAGTTAATGTACTGTAGTCAGATATAATTATGATGTCAGATCTCAGAGAATTAAAATATAGAGGGGGCCTACCAAATATGACGGTTCGACGGTGCAGACTATCAGGCACACGATGGTTGGGCCATATTTGTAGTTAAGCGGTTATGACGATCACCATGTCTGCAAGAAGTCCTTAAAATTACTTGAACCAACGATATAGATTAATGAACAATTGCAAATAAAGTTATCATTGTTGAGACTGACGCATTATGATTGGGTGGTAATACAGATCTCCCTCTAATTAAAAACCAATTTTAGGACCGGGGTGGTCTTGCAGTTTTGGTCTCCAATTAGAATCTCTCTAAATAAAGACCGGCAGTAAATGTGGTCTACCAATACCACAATTTAGAGGAAAATTAAGAAATGATGTAATAAATGTAAAATAGTTTTATTCCAAGTGCTTTAAATGGATTCATAGTTACTGTATGCTGCTTTAAACCAGTTTCTGAATAGTTACATATTAAGTCCTGCGCTCATTCTACTTAACTATATCGTCATAATAAAACTATCATTAGGCCTATTCAATAGAGCACTGTGTATATAAAGTGGATATCATCGTCATCATTTATTATTTAAAAAAAAAACTGCAATAAAGTCATTATATATTTTAATGTAGTCTTTATTTAAAGGGTAAATCTTTAACTTTGTTTTAGTCTGTCAGACTATGATAGGCCTACATTATGTTTGAATGTTTTATTCCAAGTGTTTAGAATGGACTACTGATGCTGTTACTGATTCCTAATAAACAATTTCTTGGTAGATACACATCAAGTCCTGCGCTCATTGTACCCAAATAGTCCTATCCATTACAAAAATACAAACATCAACGTCCTACTAACACAGCCGGTATATATGGAGCCAGACGTCCGAAATTCCCAGAAACTTGCGGGTTTCCCAGATATGTAAGGATCAAATCGCCGCTTCGCAGAATTTTTACAGTTTTTGCAGAAAATAAAGAATTTTCATTGTGAATATTAAAAAATGGCTCCTAAGTGTGTATTTTAAACAACATTTGTCTTTTTTATATATTAGGTTACTTACAATTTAAACAACTCTATGCATCTGCATAACCAACTATGACTTATTTTTCCTATTTTCCAACTTACAAAAACTACTCTTTCTGTTAAATATTACATAAGTTGAATTAATAATGTCATTATTATGTATTATTAATAAACTTAAAAAACCCACAGATTACACTTCAATAAACTAAAAAATTCCCCAGAAATGCTCTGTGGAGCATACACATCCTTCACTAAAATCACTTGTATATTTTTAAATTTTCAGTTTGATCTGCAAAAACCACCAATCTTTAGAATCCCTGTAATTTAAGATGGGCAATTAAATTAAATGTCATCTTTAAATTTGTCTAATTAGAGGGAAATTAAGAAATGATACAATAAATTTTTTAAAAATAGATGCAGGCCTAAAATTACTGTATGTTGTTATTTATTCTTTATACTAACTGGGGGAAGAGTAAGACTATTAAATTCCACTAAATATGTTGAAGAATTTTTCATATTAATTTTTCATAATTATTATCTATTTGATATTCGGTGCGTCGAGCACGCATGACGTCGCCCTCAATCTTACGTTACCAGGGAGTACTTGTTTGCGTTTCAATACTCAAAGCGGTCTTAGGGGAAACTGTTTTATAGCAATGGTCTTAGAGGAATTACTTTAGTAAGACCGTCTAAGCATAGAGAAAATAGAACATTTTCAGTTATATTTTCTCTATGGTCTAAGTGATAACGCCGGCTTTATTCGAGGAGTTAAGACTACCAGTTAAGACCGTTTTATAGCAATCCGCCCCAGATATATAAATGTTAATTTAGTAAAACATAATATATTTCAAAGATCTTAACATTCCAGCACATTTTGGCCATTATCCGAAACAAGGATTTGCGACGAGTGACTAACTTGGCTTGTCTTTGCCAAAAATTAATAATTTTACAAAATATATTATTACATCGTTTAAACAATAAAGCCCAGCAATAGGCTAATTTTGCACTTACACGTACCACATCACAAACGCTGCTACAACTTCGCACTATTTTCAACAAACTATGTGTATGCATGCTGGTTGTATATTTGCTGAAATTATTATCCTCTTTGTATTGCAAGCAGGTACAAGTATCACATTGAACTTTTTTAGAACGCCGCCCTCATTTTTTTGAACCGTTGCGTTTTATCAAACGATTGCTAAGGACGGCGGTGAAGAAATTGTTTCCTGAATTAAAGGATAAGCATACACCCAGCTATTCACATTCAGAGGTGTGGGAACAATCTATCAACATCTACCGAACATGTTCGGGCAAGTTAACCAAAACCTATTCTGCTTGATCCTGTTTTCTACATCAGTGAACGCTGTGTATCAACTTGAGCCGATTTCGACGATTTATATTCCTTCAAGTTACGATTCCACTGATTCACCAAAGTACACAATCGATGGAGGGGCTGTGGAGCAAAGTGCTTACGATAAAAACGAAAAACTTGTGTACGCTGCAGGTAAAATTTCTTTCTCTGTGTAGTCTATTTTGATGTATGTATATATATATATATATATATTTATATATATATTGTTTCCAATCATCACTTTTTGCACAAAAGTGCTTATCTCGCCGAGTTGAGCACTTAGTGCAAATTTTTGACTTTTCGCCATATTTCAAATACCTGTCTCTTATACACATCTAGATGTGTATAAGAGACGTCTCCAGGATACGAGTTGCAAATTCTAACTGATTTATTGAGTTTTCTAACTTCAGCTGATATTTCTAATGAATATTAAAGGGTTTAAATTGATTTAATTTGTATTAATCAATGGGTAAAATTTATCTCAATTAAAAGCGACCAATAATTGGCAATACTTGTCCATTCTTTCAAAATTAGGCCTACAAATAATGTGGATTTCGGAGTTTCTGCTTTAATCGTGAGTTCACTTGGATTGACTGAAACCTGTTGTAATATTCATTTATTTGCCTTTGTACAGTTTTGGTTGAAGTCATTTTACTAATGACCCTGTTCGTTATTACTGACGCTCTGCTGATGATTTTTCTGGACTACTGTAGGCCTATAAACATATATTTCTGATTCGAGTTTTATTATTTGGATGCGTTAGCTTGTTTAATAAAGTTTAGTTTAGTGTATGCATATGTTGCGTTTGACAGTTTCTTTAAATGAGAGAACTGTGTCTAATTGTACGTAAACCTTCGTTTACATAATTCGTTAGGACAGGTTGGAGGACTAAGTCAGTGACATTATGCATTTTGACATGAAATTACACAGTATGTTTAATAATTTACTGTGTCATATCGATACCTAGGCCTAGTTTTGGCCTAGCATCCTCATCCTGATTTGTAGAGTGACCGCTAATTCAAACAGTGTAGGCCAATCAGTTATCTTTTCTAATAGGCCTATTATGAGTAGAGATATACCCTATCATCTACCTTTCTGTTTATTTAAGAAAGAAAACTCTGCTAACTAACTGATTAAGATGCTATTAATTATAAGAATACGCTTAGAATAAAATTATAAAAGGTCAAGAACAGTTGTTGATTTTGACATCTCAAGGTCATTTTGATGTGTTTTATCTTGTGTAGACTTTAACATGATAAAAATAATGGTCAAATTTGTCGAAAATTCTGTCTACCTTTGCCTGGTTCACCATTTTATTCATAGCATGGTGGTAACCCATTTCTTTTTCATGATTTTAAAATACACAACACGCACCTATGGAAATGGTGTGTGTAATCAAATATGACGTCATTCTACTTATTATGACACAAGGTAAACGAACTAAAAATACTTTACCTCCGCAGTGTCAGAGTTTCTTTAGAACAGCGTTTTGCAAACTTTTTACTTCACGGCCTATTTACGATTCCAGGCACCAAGCCGCGGCCCAGCAGCCCAGCCGCGCCAGGGACCAACATACCAAATCCCGGCAAAAAAGTTTGATCATGAAACCTCCATATGTATATACAATATTTTGACATCATTATCTGTCAGTGATAAAATTTCATTGTATACAAATTAAATATTATTTTATTAAATAAATAATACCGTACATTTGTGTTCCCCTCACAATTGTTGATTGTTTTTTTCCCTACCATGATTCAACCAAACACGGTTCAGCCACACACGTCATAGCTTTCTCCTTCTTCCAAAACTTTTACGCACACTCTGTTACTCCGCAACTTTGAAAGACTATACAGGTATTGCGTGCGACGGCGACACGACGGCAACGCGACGAAGAACGCACGCGAAGACGCGGACCCAACGAATCATATTTCCACTGACAATCAGCATACGGCGTTGCGTCGTTTATTGCTCGCTGGAAGCAAATGTGGATTCGACGTGAGACGGTCGTACGACGCAGAGAGTGTTCGGCTTAATCAAGTATCCGGATGGGCATTCGGTTGTCAAGAAATGTGTGGTGTTGTTTCTGTATAGATCTTTCTAGGACAGGTCTTATACTTATTTTTATCTTTAGTTCATGACTCATCCCATCATTCTTTCATACCGGATTTACTGGATCTTACAGGGCTAATACTAGACGATAACATAGAGTCTAGCTCCCGAGGGGGCATAGACAGAAAAACCGCTTATAACTCAAATAGCACGCATCATCTGGCACTTAGCAGCGTGTGCAAGCGACGCATTCGCTGCAACAATGAAGCGGCTTTATTAAAACCAAATTTGGGCAGCGTACCATAGTTTGCGGAACGTCGCTTTAGAACTCCCAGCATTATATACCCTTACCACTGCAGTCATAGGTCGAGTTTCACTGACCTCGAGTCTGCTTTCATGTTAATTTTTACTTTATGATTTCCTTTAGTATTATTTCATATTTGTTTTTCGCGTGTTGTTTATTAATTTTATTAAATAATAATAATAATAATAATAATAATAATAATAATAATATAATAATAATAATAATTATTATTATTATCATCATTATTATCATTATCATTAGTTACTGTTGGTAGATTAGTTACTGTTATAATACTGAAACAATGTTATAATAATAATAATATTAATAATAATAATAAAAATAATAATAAAAATAATAATAATAATAATAATAATAATAATAATTTTAATAATAATAATAATAATAATAATAATAATAATAATAATAATAATTATTATTATTATTATTATTATTGTTGTTAAGAAAAATAAAATTTCAATAATTAGTGTCAAAACTCTCAGTAATTCGTATATTCTTCATGGTCATTTTCTTCTTTCCTTGTTTCTTTTCCAATCTTGCCTTCATTACCTTTATCTAATTATGGATAGTTAAATAACTTTCCGATTACTTCGACTGATACTGTAGGCTCATCATACTTGCATGTAGTTGATTTCTCCGCCGTATCAAACCCAGTAATCTTGAAGAAGGTACCAACGCTAGGAGTTGCGAATGATATTGAATTGTGCGGTAACTATGTCGCCATAACTGTCTCTAGTAAAAATCCAAATCAAAATGGAACTGTTTGTGTGTATGAACTGTACAACAGGAATAATGGAAACTTCCCGATGGTTCAAACAATTATAGGTTGGTATTTAACATAATAATTTTCTTATTTTATTTTTTGTTTTGTAATTAATAATAGACGTACACCCGCCATTCATTGAACGGAATACTAAGTAATATACCAACAGTAAATCGTATTAAAAGAAAGGTCGATAATGGTAACATAGTAGAATAATCAGTAGTGACCAGTTTGAAGGTGTTCTTTTTTGGAGGAAAGACATTACATTTGGTAATAAGATCGTTCTAATAAGATTGTTTTTTTGTTCGGTCAACTAGCTTGGATGTACATCTTATTACCAATTTCCTAATGGTTTTACACATTGAATCACTTTTTGAATCAAATAGGTTTGTATTTGGAGTTAAGATTTGTTAAAGATGATACCTAAACATACATCATGCAACATGGACATGGACATTACTATAGATCATTGATGTTATTATACTTAATTATTTAGGTGATGAGTTTTGCAATTAGATTCGATCTTCGTTTCCTAGGTTTATATGCAGCTTAAAATTAGCACCACCCGGATTGAAACTATAAGCAATAGGACTACATATTCGCTATATTATATTTAGAGAATGTGTTCAACTTTACAGAACAATTAAACTTTTTCTTGTTTGTGCTATTAGTGGGTAGTGAACCGGACATGTTAAAGTTTACAAAAGATTGCAGGACTATTCTAGTGGCCAATGAAGGTGAAGGATATACAAGCGATGATGAAGAGGACATTGTCAACCCTGAAGGATCTGTTTCGATTATTCGATTCACTTCCGACGACCTTTCCACAATACCAACCATCTCAACTGCAGACTTCATGCACTTTAACTCGAGGTATTTCTTTATGTATTGTGTTTCTTTTTGTTTATTTTTTTGTCTATACTTTTGAAAATGTTGATATTTCAAATACTGTAGGCCTAAACTTACACAGTATAAATCATATCAGGTGGATGTTGTAAACCAGTTTTAATGGTAATGTAGCTCGTTAACAGTGATGAAACTAACTACAAAAGAACATAAGCCTATACCAGCTGTGTAGAATCATCCAACCAATGAAATTTCCTAATTTACAATCGTCCATCAGGGATACTAAAATTCTTGGTCAACGCTCTTGGGGACACCTTTAAAAATCTTTTTAAAGATGTACCATGCGGTAATACATCATGTCTTAAATTATTTCAAACATTTCCTGGACCAGGGTCCTTCACATGGAGACACAACAACACTCTGAACCACCTCTCTCAGGTCCTTCGAAAGAGATTTAGTAGCATCCCCTCACGTCCAATGATCCTTTCTGAACTTGTGGCCGGAGACCAAGATGTTCCATATCCGCCTACCACTCCATCCGAATGTATCGTGACAAACTTGATCCCGGACATTGTGTATATTTTGGAAAGATCTCAAAAGACTCGTAATCATCAAACCTACAGTTGCATTTGAATATCCCCCACCTCCCGTTTCGTCTGACTGCGAGGTTGAACTGATTGCCTTTGAGGCTGGATCCAGAGAGTATGCCTCCAGAATTATTGTAAAAAACCTTAAACCCTCTTTTACGGAATAATGTCTCAAAAATAGTACTAGTTTTTCCTTTGGTACCGTATCTATTACGCGAAAGAACAACCTTCTTGGAGAATCCATATACTTCCAAATTAATTAGCCCCGTGCAATATAATTGTATATAGAATATTAATAAATTTGAATGAATATTTTCCATCTAAGTTAATTAATACCTTAAAGCAAGACTCCGGAAAAAAAAATGTAAAACTGATTTTCCTAAGACACGAAAAGCATAACGAACGAAAAACTCGGAAGAGGTTATTAAGACACAGGTTTTTAAATATTTAAAAACTGGAAGAAAAGGGTTTTAAAAGAGTGGCTAAGCCCCTTTCCCCCGTTTTTAAATATTGAAAAATCTGTATCTCATTAACCGCTTTCAATATTTTTTTTTTGCTTTTGTGTCTTAGAAAATTAGTTTTACAACATATCAAAGAATTTCTTAAACAAATAGTTTTTCCTCACCATTTTCAACATAGGCCTATTTTTTTTATAGTGTTAAAATAATACGTTAAATTTTATTTTAAAATTTTTTTTTTAATTTTAAACTTTTTAATTTTAATTATAGATCCGACGAGTACGAGATGAAGCATATAAGGTACCCCTACAAAGGGTACATAAGTAAAACCAGGGACACTTTTTCGCAGAATCTTGAACCAGAATATATAGCCCTTAACAGTAACGAATCAAAGGCTTACATAGCGCTTCAGGTAATAGCTCAAACAAGTATTAATGATCATTATTTTGCACTTTATGTCATTAATGTACATCAAAGATCTTATAAACACAAGATAGCGTTCTCCGCGATTTACGCGTAACAAATAGAACCGTCGGTCAAGGTTCAAAAGTTTCCAATTTAGCAAGAGGGCGCCATTCATGCGCTATTATACCAAAGAGAAAAAGTAATCAGTTTCGGAAGAGGGCGTCCTATCTGTTGCCATGGATCTGAGATGGTTCCTGTTCTGCTGTTGTTCACAGGATTGATTTAAAGGTAAAGTGGCGCGGTGTACGGTATGGTCAGAGCGGTTTCCAATTTAGCAAGAGGGCGCCATTCATGCCTTATTACATAATTTGCACGCGAAAATCGCGGAGAACGCTATCTTGTGTTTATAAGATCTTTAATGTACATCTAGCACAATGGAATCCTTTCATATTATTGTATGAGAGCTATAAAATGTCAATAGAATTAGGCACCTTCAAAAATTGCTGTTATAGTTGAAATCCACTTTCAACTGTACATCGGTGAAAGTTGATGGTTGTAAAAGTCTCCTTGTAATGTAGGCCTATTTTTAAATGGAAAAGCATAAAACAGTAATTGAATCCAAATGTAAATGTAAAGGATAGCCTACTGTTACTACGGTATTGGCAATGATTAACATTTTTAAATTGAAATTTGCATTAACCCCAAAGGGCCGACGAGCAGAATATTCTTCGTCGAGTTAGGAAAACCCCCGAACCCTTTCCAATAGTATACTGAGTTCTTTGCGTGCACACGTAATAATAATTTATTCATGTGTATATATATTGCGCAAATTTCATTAAAATCTGTTCAAATACATACGCACGTGAGTTGGGACAACACGTATCTTTTGGAGCAGCTGGTACTTCTGGCTCTGTCCTCATTGACCAGCTGTTTAAGTTCGAAAGGTCCAGAAAGAGAAAATCCAGAAAGATCAATTATTATGCACCAACGGCGTATCGCCCTATTTAAAGGACGACGTACGTTTCTTTAATTCGGCCCTTTGACTGGTAACTTACAAAGTAATATTTTAATTTTTATGTCAGCAAAAAAGGGCTGTGCAGGGAGAGTCCTGCGGCGCTGCCTAGTAACCTATCAACATTGAGTCTCAGTAATTCCAATATCAAGCACTCCATAATCTAGTGAAGTAAGAAGAAAACCGATTAACAAGTTTAGGACTTTATGTGGGCCTAGTAGGCCTAGTTATCATTATTTTGGAAGTAGTGCAACCAACCGATAGTGTTACTTTAGAATATTATATTTCGAAATATTGTTTTTAGGCTTTCAAAGAAAGTAGTAGTTAGCACATCCTATTAACATTATGTATCATGATAGAAGTAATTTATATATCTCAGGAAAACAACGCAATTGCTATTGTTGACATGGCTACAAGCTCAGTCGATGAGATAATTGGTATGGGAGTGAAATCGTGGGAAAATCTCAAATTTGACGCAAGCGACAAAGATTCAGGTATACAACTCAATACTAGATAGTATAATACATAGACATTACTCCAAGTGTCGAAATGCACGCCATCGTGCCGGGATTCAATATTGCAAAATTAATTATGTTATCATTAGGAAATCAATACTCTTTTTTACATTGTTAATGATTGAGGCCTATATGCCCAGCTAATTATATTATGTCTTTGTAGAAATTATTTGTGAATTTACAATCAATCCTAAACGTTTATATTAATTATGATTGCAACTAATAAGGCCTATGAGATATTTTTTAGATTTGTTCCTTGTGGGCGTTTTATTATTTGCTTTAATAGCACTATTGCCACTGTACGCTCAAGGTACGCTAAAAAGTTATATATTTTTTATAAGTCACAGTTCCGTCAATAACCAGTTCAATACTATTAAGAATGCATCCTCCAGTAAGAAAATCAAATTAAGGACGCAGTTTTTTTTTTTTTTTAATTGTAAACGATAACAATTTTGCGTTATACATACCGGAAAATTCTCCATAATAACAGATCTGTTTAGTTATTATGTGGTCACGTCTGTAGCGGGCTTGTTCTTTCATCGAACTTAATAAACTTTAGCTTATATTCTGTTAGGATTCCTTTAAGGATATTACTAATTGCTGTAGCAATTAATTGAATGCCTTCTGCAGCCCTAACAAAATCTAAGACTAAGAAGTACGGCAAACTGACTAAAGATTTAGAAAACCTTTGAAACGCCTGTTACGCTTTGCAGGCTGTTTTGTAGAATAAAATATGAAGTTCCATCAACAACACTTGCCATTAATCTACACCAGGAAATGACTTAAAAAACCAAACTTGAAATGGACTTACATCAGAGTAGTGAACGACAAAGATATTTAGCTAACCCTTCTCATAAATTAACAAAAATTACTGATGATTAGCGTAACCTCTCTTATTCCTTTTTGATGATGACGACGACGACGACGACGATGACGATGATGATGATGATGATGATGATGATGATGATGATGACGACGACGATGATGATGATGATGATGACGACGATGCTGGGGATGGTGACATACAATGACATTTTTAATGATGATGATGATGATGATGATGAAGATGATAATAATAATAATAATAATAATAATAATAATAATAATAATAATAATAATAATAATAATAATAATAATAACAACAACAACAACATATACGTCATCAGGAATTAACTTACAATCGTGGCCAGTGTATAGCTTCTACCAGCCAGACTCTATGATTCACTACGAAATCGATGGCGTGGAATACCTTGCGACATCGAATGAAGGTGACTCATTTGAATACGAAACAAAAAATAACAAGTGGGAGGAGAAAAAACGAGGTGCAAAGTTGGTGAAAGGTTAGATGTTCTCAGCATAAATTTTATTACATATTCACATAAAAAGTTTGATTTTTACCTTTAATATGTTATTCAACAACAACCAAGCCAGGAACTATGCACGAGCAATGTTTGCGGACGTTTGCTCAGCATTTAATACTATGTTACCGGTACATTCTCTACTGTTGAAGAAATGATTTTAAATCTTAAATGTAAATTCTTATACTATTATGTAGATCCAAGATTTCCTAAGCAAATAGTGTAGAAAATGCAAGTTTTGCTGGAATTTTTCCAGATCCTATCACTATATTGGATCACCTCAGGGATGTGTTGATTCTCCGCTACTTTATATTATTTATAATGGTGACTGCAGATCCAAAAATGAAGATGTTAAGATATTGAAATAGCGGATGACACAGTTATCATAGGACTCATGAAATCCAAGTCTGTGTCTATCTATGTGAATACATTCGCAAACTTATCATTGTGGTGTGAACAAAACTGTTTAAAACTGCATGAACAAAAAACAAAAGAACTTATAATTGACTATAGAAAAGGCGAAAATAATGTTGTAGCCCTTGTTGTTGACAAGTTTGAGATTGAGACTGTTACTCGTCGAAAATACCTAGGTTTAGAGATTGATAATAAGTTAAACTGGGGGCGGGACAGTGTGATAAAATATTTAGGAATGGTATGACGCGCCTCCATTTCTTAAAGAAATTGCGGTCATTGAATGTTGATACATGTATAATAAGCCTTTTTTATTCCTCTGTTATTGAAAGCCCTCTTTTGTTTTTGAGTTATGTATGGTTTGGTAATTTAAGAAAAAAGATTATAACACAATACAACGTATCATAAATCAGACAGGAAAAATTCTACAACAAAATAGACAACTACACTGTAGATGATATCTGTGAGAGTAACATAAAGTGAAGAGTATCTTAACAGATAGTTTCCACCCACTAAGGGCATCCTTTACTTTGCTACCCTTGGGTAAAAGTTAAAGAAGTTTTTTGTGCGTGTTATTCTTTGTACACAAACACCATTTCAGTAAATGATGCCATTTATAATCTTAATTTGTGATTTTAGATTTATTGATTTCCGACAGCATCCCAGAAAACGTGACGAAATACCTAGAAGACAAAGATGAACTTGGTATTATAGTTTGTTTAATAACATACATTAAGTTAATTTACAGTAAAATTATCAGTAGTTGCTAAAGATTTACTCTCATATAATGTTAAAATATCTTAACATTGTAATTAAAAACTAAACAAACAAATAAATAAAATAAATTTATTACTTGTACAAATAGGGCATATACTTATTCAAATATTAAATTATTTTTTCAATTTCCATCTGAAGGCCGTCTAGAATTTAGCACCGTTGACGGTTTGGACAAGAATGGCAAAATAGAAACGCTTTACCACTATGGCGGGCGAAGTTGGTCAATATTTAGAATCGACGGTGATAACCTAACTATGATATACGACAGTGGTGATGACGTTGAACGCATGATGTCACTCTACTATCCTGAAGTCTTTAACGGCAACACGAAGCCAGATGATGCCAACGAAGAGAAACCTGAGGATCTTTTTGATACCAGGTCAGACAACAAGGTACAATTATTATTTATTTTTAATCAAATCAGATCAAATCAAATCAAAATTTTAATTCATAATACAAATAATCAAGCAAAAACTATTCATCCAACCAAAAGTTCAACTACTAATTTTTACGTGGAAAAAGTAAAGTATTATCAACTATTATTAACTTCATAAATGTCCATCTGTGGAGATTTTCAAAATGAGAATTAACGTCATCTTTTTGGATATTTGTATTGCTTTATTTCTGGCTTTGACATCTGTATTTGCTATTGTATTCTCTCATTTCTGTTTAATGCTTTTCCTCCTTGTATAACGTTTTCTCCTATGGCTCCCTTTTTTAGTTGTTTTTTTTTCAGTTACTCTCTCAAATTGGCGCATTGAGACTTTTTATAATGCGCGTTTTAAGTCGAAGTTTGGATTGGGTTGGAATGGAACTTTCATTAGCATTATCCTGCAACTTCGAAAGGTCTAAGCGATGAATTTGTGGTTTCTAGGAACAAGAGAGAGAATATACGAAAAATACCTTCTAGGCTATATTTCATTTTCTATATTCTCATTCATTTACTAGTTTCATTTTGTTTGCCATACAACTTGGTTCAATTATCATGATTGAGGAGATGATAATATTCAATCTCAAAGAATTTCATCTGGTTTATTACATATTAAACTTAAATTATTTCTTAATGAATCAATACAAATTTAGTAGTCGTAATTGCTACGTTGCAGTAGCCTTGTAGCGTCGTCATCCATTCACAAAATGGACGTCGAGAAAAGCACTCCAGAGGAATCAGAACCAGGAGTGCTCGCAACTCACAACCTTACATCATTCACAAGTCAGAATCACTGATCATGTTCTTATAGAGCATCATATTCCCATGTTTCATGACGCAAACATACTTGATTAAGAGGGACACTATTTGAGAAAGGATAGTTACGAGGACGACACTACACCATTACGCCATTCTCGTGATCAAGGCTACTGGAACAGTGGTTGAAACGTAGGAAGAACTAGAATTCTACTGAGTTTGTATTGGTATTGTATTGTATTTGTATTGGTTTATTAGGAGATAATTATATGATGATATCAGCTCGTTGTTAGGTTACCCAACATTTCAATTGGCTTAAAGTTATGTAATGGATGTTTTTAGTCATGCCCGTGTTAAGTACTTCAGGATTTCCGTCAAGCATCGCATTCTAAACATGTTCGGTTTAAATTAAATTTTGTAAAGTTCTGTCTTTCCCACTCAATGTTTCGAATCTGCTTTCTTTCTTGTGGTACATTATATTTCATATGTGAAACTGCTGATCCATGTTTGCATGCTTATCATAGAAAGCCACAAATCAAATTTAGATGTAGTAAATATTTCTAATTCAGTTAAACTATAATTTGGCTATGTTTTTGTGAGGTTTAATTAGATAACTTGAAAATCATTTGAATTTTACATAATCTTATTTTACTTACTAAAACATGATGAGCTACCGTGGAATCAAATTCGGAACCTTTCGTATACATGGCAAACGTCATAACAACTTGACCCCGAAGACGTTGTGGTGATCCAAGTCTGACATCACAAATTTGATATAACACTAATATCGCATGTGACTAGACTGGCAGATATATAAGATACGCCCTCTTCTGTGCATTATTTTTAGCTTGCTGGATCTCAAATGCGATACTTGTTTAAATAATATAATTATAAGGCGTGTGGAAAATAAACCACAAAACAAAAATCGGAAAAAAATGCAAAGAAAAATATAAGTTAAAACGTAACAACGGTCCTGGGTTTTAGGTCCTGGTGGAGGTTAAATTTTTTTTTCTTTCTTTCTCAGATTCTTCTTCTGTAACGCTTCAGGTTTAGAAAGTATAATACATACTCCAAATATTGAAATACACGCCATCGTGTTGGGATTCAATATTTCGACATTAATTATGTCATCATCAGGAATAAAAAATTATCCATATTAGCAAGTTTATATGCACTAGTACCGTACCAAAAGTGTTTAACCAATCAAAACATTACCTCTAGTAGGTGACATAGCAGTGATTTAAACAAGCGATCAAAGCATACTTACTCAGCTCTTTTGAAGCTCTGAGCCCATTGTTAAGCAAAGGATGTAGTCTACGTATAGCGAACGCTTCTTTAAACAATAGGATAGACCAGTTTCGAGAGCTGTCAATAATGTTAGTACTAGAAAATATTAAACTTAATTTATTACTTACATTACAGGCGACATTATCATTTTCAAGTATACCCTGTAATCCTAAAACAAATTGGAATGCCTCACAGTTTTTAACATGATTAAATATAACACTATCAGATCAGATCGTGAAGAATGTCTAGTTATTAAGCACCTATCTGTCTTACCAATATAATCACTATTGCAGCCTGGACATTTAAAGTGATAGACAACAGAACTTCTGTACTCCTTAGGGGTTTGATCCTTAGTAGATATAAAATGAGAAACATTTTTATACTGCCATAAAGCTATGAATTTTACCTCTTTAATTAAGTGTTTCTTTACCTTATTTAAACATCTACGTAAAATGAACTCACCTGGTTTTCCTAGATAGGCAATCTAACCCAAATCTTAATCAAGCTATCATCAGTTGGCCGGCCTATATGTATACATTTAGGTTCATTTAATTTCTTAAGCACATTATTAACAACTTTTAAAGGGTACCCATTCCAAGACAAACTTCCTGATGTTACTTAGCTCTGTTTGAAGTTTATCAGGAGTACACAATCTGTGGGCTCTAGAAACTAAACTACGAATCTAGGAGATCTTATGGTTCCATGGAGCAAAGCTACCATAATGGACATATTGACCTGTATGTGTATTTTTACGATATATACTCATGCTTCCTACACTGTTGTTAAATTGTAAATCCAGAAAGTGTACTGTGTCACTGTTTTCAAATGATTCAAATGTAAAATTTATCTGTCTATGAAAAGCATTGAAGTAGCTTAGAATTTGCGGGAAATCTTTGGGATTAGCTAATACTATAGTGTGTCGTCAACAAAACGAGTATAAAACTTAATAGTACCTGATTCAATAAGTTTAGGAACAATAGACTCTTCTAGTTCAATCATTAAAATATTAGCTAAAACTGGGCCAAGAGGCGAACCCATTGAGACACCATCAGTTTAATAGAATTCGTTATTACACGTAAATACAGTTTTAGTACAGCAATCTCTAAGTTTCTAGTTTCCTTAGCGAATTTTTCTTAAGGTTAGTAGATATCAGTTTCTTATTGTACACCCTATCAAGAATTATATTAATTACCTTAGTAAGGGGAACATTTGTAAACAGAGATTCAACATCAAAAGATACAAATCGGTAACCTAAATTAAACCAATTGTTTGGTATAGCTTTAATGCGGTCAGCAGCATCAAAAGAATCTTTAAGGACAAAATCATTAACCGTTAGAGGGCCTAATAAGTTTGATAACTTAACTTAGCACCTTATAGTTCCTGCATCGTTGTATTCAATGTAATTAAATGTGTGTTTCGAATTTAAACGTTGGTTTTAACAATCTATGTAAGCCCAATATATTGGTATTTCTGATGACAGGAAATTGTCATATTATCCAGCCTGTTTATAATCCATTTCTTAATAAAATTACTTCGGTCATATTTTTAAACAGTTAAAATACAGTAAAATTAAAGTTTGATTTCATTAACTTCAGAAATGTGTTTCAAATCATTGAATTTGTTTTTACTATAATCAATAACATTCGCATATGTAAAGTACATTTATTGTTTAAACTTCCTATTTCGAAATTATTAAGAATGTCATGATTCTGATAAAATGAACCTTCGTAAGCTACGTCCGTATATACATTGTTCATACTTTATTGTCTATTTTAACCCAGTATCTCCATAATTCCTCGCCAATGTTTATTTCGCAACTAATTCATCCTTATATTTCTAAGAGGTCTCTGAGATCTAGTTCAGAGTCGCTACTTGCTCATTCTATTCGCCCGTCAAAGCATTATGACAATCGTTCTTTTTCTTGGGCTTCTGTCTTCCTCTGGAATGCTTTGCCTATTACAATCTGACAGGCAACCTCCATTGTTGATTTTAAGGCAGCTTTAAAAACTCAACTTTTTAACATGTACTTTTCTTAAATTTCTCCTAGCACTTTTTTTTTATTGTTAAGCGCATTGAGGCAAAATTATTATTATTATTATTATTATTAGACACTGAATCGTATAACTAATCTTGAATAAACATAAAAACGATGTATTGCACCATATTTATAGCTAGCTAATGTCTTGACATAATAACTGGTTTATAACCTTGTAATATGTTATTGTCTATCTGATTTGATATTTTTCTTAGACAGATAATAATAATGTGTACATGCTGCTCAAATAAAGTATAGTAATATATAGTTAATTTCCTATTATTATATTGAAGAATTGTTGTATTCTAACACCGTATTATAAATTAACTAAGAAAGATGTCTGCAATATGTAGCATAGGCGTAGATCCCGGGGGGGGGGGATATATCCCCAATATTTGACAAGGGGGGAAGGTCCATTGTATCATCCCCCCCCCCAATATTCTGACTGTGTATGGGATAAAATGGAGCTTTTAGCATAGGCGTAGATCCCGGGGGGGGGGGATATATCCCCAATATTTGACAAGGGGGGAAGGTCCATTGTATCATCCCCCCCCCCAATATTCTGACTGTGTATGGGATAAAATGGAGCTTTACACACTTCAAAAGACTGTCACAGAAATAATTTGCACTGTCTTATGCGCTTACAAAGATGAAAATTAGCATACCGTAATGTATTAATGTTGATAACAAAATTATTTTATCTGGTACTAATCTAAGCCCTTCTTTCCTTAGATGTTAGATGTGCTTGCAAAGAGAGCCACATTTC